TATTTTATTACATTGCTTTTGACTGTTTTTATCCATCCATCCATTTTCTTCTGCTTCATCCGTTGCCGGGTCGTCCTCAGGGCTCCTCACCCTATCTCTAAGGGAGCGCCCATTCACTCTGCGGAGGAAGCTCATTTCGACAGTTAGTATCCTCGAACTTGTTCTTTCGGTCATTACCCAAAGCTCATGACCATAGGTGAGGGAGGGAATGAAGATTGACCGGTAAATCGAGAGCTTTGCCTTTCGGCTCAGCTCCCTCTTCATTTGGACAGTCTGATACAGCGACCGCATCACTGCGCACGCAGCCTGTCAATCTCACACTCCATCTTTCAAGTTTCAGTATCAAATATTATCTTCATGTGTGATGATATACACAATACACATACACATGATTTCTTTTTCCGTAAAAGTGCCAGTTTAGAGAAAGTTAAGATTTCGCATGGCGCCGTAAAGATGGCGCCATGGCAAGAGCTCTGGTGTGTGTCGTCTGGTGCACACTGGGGTAGTCTTGCACAGTTTTTCCAATGTGGTTTTACTGCAAATGGCAAATAAATGAATCTGAATCTGAATCTGAATCTGATTTCAACTTTAGTCCCTTGGTCAGGTGTGCAGATGCAAAAGCTATATTAGTAAACTACAATAAAACACTAGTGCTTTATGGTAATATCTAGAGCTCATAAAAATTTTTTAAAAAAATAACTAGTTTTTATTAGTACTAAATCTATTCTTTAAGAATAGACAATAGACAACAATGTATATTTAAACTACTCTTTTATTGAAGGGTTTTGTGTCGTCTTCTGCAAAGTGACAACAGGTAATAATCTCTCTTTCATCTGAAATTTAGCATTTTTATTTCATGCTAGATTAGATTAAGAGGTCATTTTCTGTAGATCGCAAGCATTTCCTGGAAAACTTTTTAAATAATGCATTTCCTACACTGTAAAAAATGTATCTAGAAATAAATATTGTACAAATGTCTTGTCTTGATTGATGAATTAGATAAAGTAATTTTAAGAGATTTCTCCTTAATGTAAAAGATAAATTCACGCATTTCATTTTATTCATTTTAATCTATTTCCTTGATTCCAGAGTCTGTTCAATGTTATGCTTAAACTATTTATTAAATTCTTATGAATCAAACTTTGGGGAAATACAGTGAGTTGCATAAGTTTCCACACCTCTTCATTTTTTCACATTCTGCCCTGCTAGGACCACAAACTTGATGTACAAGTTTAAATGATATTTAGTTGAAATGTGAAAGACACACACTAAGACAACAAGAATTGGTTTTATGAATACAAAACTGAAAAGGAGGCTACATTTAGAGATTATTAGGGAAGAGACAACATCTTGAAGCCCAGACGACACACCAGGCAGCTGTGGAGAGGTATAAAGCTAGATTAGGCAATAAAAAAAAATTATAACGATTTTAACACTCTGGTATATTTAAATCATCTGTTGAATACACTGTCAAAATAATAACGCATCACTGCAAACCTACCAACACACGGCTCTCAGCCTGAACTTCCTGACCGAACAAGGAGAGGACTGATCAGAGCTGTATGTAGCCACAAAGCCCATGAGGACCTTGGATCTACTGCAGAGGCCACAGCTGAGGTGGGGAACCCGTCCACAGGTCAACGATTACTCCTACACTGCACACATCTGGCATTTACGGAAGAGTGGCTATAATTCCTACAAGACAATGACCCTTTACATATTGTCCGGGCAACAATGAAATGTAGAAAACCAAAATCTTGTGTGTCTGACACTGATCTGACACTGATCCTTGTTATTTCTCTGTCTCTTTCTCCACAGGTGACGGGGCGACTCTGTTCACTCCTGACCACACTGTGTATCTGGGAGACACTACGTCTGAAATGTGCAGGAGGTTATGGAGAAATACTGCATTTATACAGAAATCAGAGTCTTGTTGAAACAGATACACACACTCATTATCTACACAATAATTCAAAGTTAGCTTTCTATTACATTCATATAAAATCCAAATCTGATGGGGGTTTGTTCTCGTGCGGGGCCAGTGAGGAAACACAATCTGGTGTGAAAGAACTTAGAGTCAGAGGTAAGAGAAGCACATGAACTCTATTTAACTCAATACTATTTTAAATCTTATTCTATAAATATACAACCAACGTTGGGTTTGTGTGATAGTTCTTTCTTTTGTTTTTCACAGAGAAGTCACGCAGTGTTGAACTGACCGTGGTCAACACTCCAGTGGAGGGCAGAGTGACACTGGGCTGTAGTGTAGAGGACTGGAAGGAGAAAGTCCAGTGGTTTTTCAGAAACAGTTCTTCTTATCCTTATTCTGAGCTGAATAGAGACAAAAGTGTGACTGTGTCTCGTGGAGGAGTGTACTTATGCAGAGGAACAGGTGATGGTTTATTCACAGGAGAAAGCAATGAAATCACAGTTGAATCGTTTGGTGAGTTGTTAAACTGTTTGTATCAACATATGAACAATAGCATTAACATAAAACATTATTTAAAAACGTACTTAATATGCAGATGTAAACATGTCTTTTATCTCTAGTCCCTAGGGTGGATCCCAGTCTGTTACAGGTTTGTCTCGGGGACAGTCTGACCCTCAGGTGTAATGTGGAGGCTGGAGTCAACACAGACTGGACCTTTCACTGGAGCAGAAAGAGACTGAACTTTAGTCCAACGACCAGAGACTGGACAGTGTCCAGAGAGACCAGAGACTGGACAGTGTCCAGAGTGAGAGAGTCTGACACAGGAGCCTACAGCTGCAGAGCGGAGAGAGGACCACACACCACTGTGTGGAGCAGAACCACCAATGTCACTGTGCACAGTGAGTCTCTGTTTCAGAGACACATTTATGATGGTTTTATTTCTGTGGTTTTCTGGATTTATTGTTGTCCTTTCAGAAAGACCCTGCTCTGTCTCTGTGATTCGATCGTCTGATGCTCTCCCAGTGGGAGGCCGTGTGACTCTGACATGTGTAATACAGAGACCTTCTCCAGTCCATGAGGAATACAGATGGTTCAGAGGGAAAGAAGATCAAACTGAAGAACTGAGAGAAACCTCACAATCTATCAGCGTCTCCAGAGGAGGAGAGTACAGCTGCAGAGGACAAACTCAGTTTGGATTTACAGCTCGGAGCCTTCCAGTCTCCCTCAAAGAAACTGGTGCGTCCATAATGCATCACTGTCTCACTGGTCAGTTTGTCCTACACCTGTGTCTCATACTCCGTGACTGCAGTACTTGTACATGTGTCTCATACTCCATGACTGCAGTACTTGTACATGTGTCTCATACTCCATGACTGCAGTACTTGTACATGTGCCTCATACTCCATGACTGCAGTACTTGTACATGTGTCTCATACTCCATGACTGCAGTACTTGTACATGTGTTTCATACTCCATGTCTGCAGTACTTGTACATGTGTCTCATACTCCATGTCTGCAGTACTTGTACATGTGTCTTGTACTCACAGTAGATGGTGTGTGTGTGTCCAGAGCTGGGCGTGGCCTCTCTGTCCCTGTGGCCCCCGTGGCCTCAGCTGTTCTCTGGAGAGCAGCTCTGTCTCTCCTGTAGAGCACACAGAGCAGATGCTGAGTGGATGTTTGAATGGAGCAGATCTGGACAGAGGCTGGACTTCACACAAAGTGAAGGGACCATATGAAAAGCTGCAGTGAGGGACACAGGCTCCTACCGCTGCAGAGGAGTCCTGCCCCACACAGTCACTGAGTGGAGCCCCGTCATTTCTCTGAAAGTGTCTCAGAGTAAGTTTGTGACACAATGACATCAGACATGATCATATCAAATAAATACAAGATCCACTCCTCAGGACCTGCTGCTGTTGTGTCAGTGTCTGAGTCCTGGCTCAGGCCTGGGGCCTCTGTGTCTCTGAACTGCACTGTGACAGCGCCCTCTGCAGGATGGATCTTTCACTGGTACAGGGCTGTTCCCCACTCAAAGTCTTTCACATATGAGCGGCTCCCAGGGGCCAGTGTGGGCCCTGAACACAACTCCTTCAGCCTCCAGGGCCTCAACCACTCAGCAGCGTTTGTGTGTCGAGCGACAAGAGGAAGTCCCGCCTTCTTCTCTGAATACAGCGACCCCTCCTTTGTTTGGTCTGAAGCTACAGCCTCATGTCTCTCTCTCTGAGCCTCATCTTTAGAGTGTATCAAACCTGAGTTTCTTTAGACAGAGTGTATTAAACCCGAGTTTCTTTAGACAGTGTATTAAACCTGACTTTCTTTAGACAGAGTGTATTAAACCTGACTTTCTTTAGACAGAGTGTATTAAACCTGAGTTTCTTTAGACAGAGTGTATTAAACCTGAGTTTCTTTAGACAGTGTATTAAACCTGAGTTTCTTTAGACAGAGTGTATTAAACCTGAGTTTCTTTAGACAGAGTGTATTAAACCTGAGTTTCTTTAGACAGAGTGTATTAAACCTGAGTTTCTTGATCCTGGTCATTTCTCCTCAGATGCAGCGTCTACAGAGTCTCTGTCCGTCAGTCCTGACAGAACACAGCACTTCACTGATGACATCATCTCTCTGAGTTGTGGGTTCAACTCCACTGGAGCAGAATATAAAAGATATTCTGACAACAAACTCTCTGCACAAACATGCAGCTCAATGAGGAAAGATAAATGTGACTTTAGTTTACATGAGAAAACCAGTGCAGTGTTTTGGTGCGAGTCCAGAACTGGAGAAATGAGCAACGCCATCAACATCTCCGCTCACAGTGAGTTTGTTACAATCTGAGTTTGGACTTTTATAAAATCCTGTTTGATTGTTTTGACTTCTCAGGTGACATCATCCTTGTGAGTCCTGTTGGTGCAGTGACTGAGGGACAGTCTGTGTCTCTCAGCTGCAAACTCAAAGAAGGGACTTTTACTTCAGTCATTTTTTATAAAGATGGAAAAATGGTTCAAAATGGGACAGAATCAGAGCTGAGCATCTCTGCAGCGTCCAGGTCTGATGAAGCGCTTTATAAATGTGAAGGACAATGGAAACCACGGCAACCATCAGCACCACGGCAACCATCAGCACCAAAGACTGGGATGTCTCCAGAGAGTTGGGTCTCTGTCCAAAGTCAGTACGAGCAGTTAAAATATACAATGTACTTAAAAATAAAGATACATTTTAACTTCTTGCTTTATTCCAGCTGCCCCTGTGTCAAAAACAGGCCTCTCCTCTGTCCCTGTGATGTGGTTGGTGGGACCTGTGTGTTCTGTGGTGTTACTGATTCTGCTGCTGCTTCTGTGGAGCTGCACCAAAACAAAAGGTGAACATATGATTTCATGAACCATTGTTTCCATAGAAACCATCTGCTTTATGTAGCGGTAAAACAGACGTGTCTCAACAACATGAAACTCAAGATAAAAACATACAAGTGACTGAAATGTATAAACACATATTTGTCTTTTCATTTTCAGGCCAAGATTCTGCCAGGTTAGTTTGATCGTTCTTACACTTTAATCATTAAAATCATGAGTTTGTTAAATGGTGTTTTTCCCGATAGTGAGAATGTTGAAGGAGGAGAATCCCCAGAGCAGCAGCAGCTGTACTCATCTCTTCTGCACGGTTTGTACCACATATTATTTACCTTTTAAGTTACGTTTTAAAATCATGATTGTTTTTCCACTTTAGCCGACGTTTGTGTGTATGAAACTCTCTGTGCTGCAAGCAACACAAACGGTAAAAGCTTTTCCTGTTTTCATTCATGATGTTTTATAAGTTTTATACGTTCTGTGTCTTCCCACAGGTGAAAAGTCTTTAGATTCAACTATTTAACTATTAACAACTTCACAACTATTTAAACATGAATGTAATATTAATGCATGAAAGTAACAAATGAAACTTTGAAGAGTCTCAAGTTCATTCAGGGTCAGGGACAAATGTTTTTTTAGACTATTTTCTCCATCGTTTATTTAGTAGATTTTTGTACAGTTCATATTTGGCTGTGTTTTCTTGTATTATTTTTTTCACTTCATGGAGGTGTTTGGACCAAAAGATTGTTTTTTCTTGAACTTGGATATTATTTTCTGTATATTTTTTCTGAACAAATTCATGTTTATTATTATTTTTATTATTGTTTTTGTACCAAATGTGTTTATAGTGGAATAGGTGTCAAAAGTAGATCATTTATTTGTCTCCAGAGTCAGTAACATGTAGTGAAATGACAAGGACACATTTTCATCTGTTTTAGTTTGTTTTAAGCAGTCACACAAAACAATTAATCAAAATTAATCTCATTTTAATCACATATAAATATTTGAGCTGAGAACAGTGAGAAGTCCTTTTGTTCCCATCCACGGGGCCAACCAACGCGCTCACATCAGCTTCTTTGTTCATGGTCACTGTGCCTCTGTTGTTGTCTGAACCAAATTCATGCGCGTTATTTGGTGCTCCAGTACAATCGGTCCGTCTGAAACTCATCCAGTGAGAAACGTTCCGCGGTGCAAAAAATAAATACGATGAAAATGGGTAAATTTTTGAACACGCTCAATGTTTTTTTAATTAATTCATCTTAATTAATGCGTTAAAGTCCCGGCCCTAAAAACAATATTTACACTTCCAGAGGGTTCAGAACGTCCTCTTCAGTCTCTCACTTCTTATAGCTCTCCCCACACTCAGAAAGCACTGTCTCCTGTAGCTCTCCACACTGAGAGAGCACTGTCTCCTGTAGCTCTCCACACTCAGAGAGCACTGTCTCCTGTAGCTCCCCACACTCAGAGAGCACTGTCTCCTGCAGCTCCCCACACTCAGAGAGCACTGTCTCCTGTAGCTCTCCTCACTCAGAGAGCACTGTCTCCTGTAGCTCCCCACACTCAGAGAGCACTGTCTCCTGTAGCTCTCCACACTCAGAGAGCACTGTCTCCTGTAGCTCTCCTCACTCAGAGAGCACTGTCTCCTTCAGCTCCCCACACTCAGAGAGCACTGTCTCCTGCAGCTCCCCACACTCAGAGAGCACTGTCTCCTGTAGCTCTCCTCACTCAGAGAGCACTGTCTCCTGTTTCTCCCCACACTCAGAGAGCACTGTCTCCTGTAGCTCTCCTCACTCAGAGAGCAATGTCTCCTGTAGCTCCCCACACTCAGAGAGCACTGTCTCCTGTAGCTCTCCATACTAAGAGAGCACTGTCTCCTGTAGCTCTCCTCACTCAGAGAGCACTGTCTCCTGTAGCTCCCCACACTCAGAGAGCACTGTCTCCTGTAGCTCTCCACACTCAGAGAGCACTGTCTCCTGTAGCTCTCCTCACTCAGAGAGCACTGTCTCCTGTAGCCTCCCACACTCAGAGAGCACTGTCTCCTGCAGCTCCCCACACTCAGAGAGCACTGTCTCCTGTAGCTCTCCTCACTCAGAGAGCACTGTCTCCTGTTTCTCCCCACACTCAGAGAGCACTGTCTCCTGTAGCTCTCCTCACTCAGAGAGCACTGTCTCCTGTAGCTCTCCTCACTCAGAGAGCACTGTCTCCTGTAGCTCCCCACACTCAGAGAGCACTGTCTCCTGTAGCTCTCCACACTCAGAGAGCACTGTCTCCTGTAGCTCTCCTCACTCAGAGAGCACTGTCTCCTTCAGCTCCCCACACTCAGAGAGCACTGTCTCCTGTAGCTCTCCTCACTCAGAGAGCACTGTCTGCATCAGCTCCCCACACTCAGAGAGCACTGTCTCCTGCAGCTCCCCACACTCAGAGAGCACTGTCTCCTGTAGCTCTCCTCACTCAGAGAGCACTGTCTCCTGCAGCTCCCCACACTCAGAGAGCACTGTCTCCTGTAGCTCTCCTCACTCAGAGAGCACTGTCTCCTGCAGCTCCCCACACTCAGAGAGCACTGTCTCCTGTAGCTCTCCTCACTCAGAGAGCAATGTCTCCTGTAGCTCCCCACACTCAGAGAGCACTGTCTCCTGTAGCTCTCCATACTAAGAGAGCACTGTCTCCTGTAGCTCTCCTCACTCAGAGAGCACTGTCTCCTATAGCTCCCCACACTCAGAGAGCACTGTCTCCTGTAGCTCTCCACACTCAGAGAGCACTGTCTCCTGTAGCTCTCCTCACTCAGAGAGCACTGTCTCCTGTAGCCTCCCACACTCAGAGAGCACTGTCTCCTGCAGCTCCCCACACTCAGAGAGCACTGTCTCCTGTAGCTCTCCTCACTCAGAGAGCACTGTCTCCTGTTTCTCCCCACACTCAGAGAGCACTGTCTCCTGTAGCTCTCCTCACTCAGAGAGCACTGTCTCCTGTAGCTCTCCTCACTCAGAGAGCACTGTCTCCTGTAGCTCCCCACACTCAGAGAGCACTGTCTCCTGTAGCTCTCCACACTCAGAGAGCACTGTCTCCTGTAGCTCTCCTCACTCAGAGAGCACTGTCTCCTTAAGCTCCCCACACTCAGAGAGCACTGTCTCCTGTAGCTCTCCTCACTCAGAGAGCACTGTCTCCTTCAGCTACCCACACTCAGAGAGCACTGTCTCCTGCAGCTCCCCACACTCAGAGAGCACTGTCTCCTGTAGCTCTCCTCACTCAGAGAGCACTGTCTCCTGTAGCTCCCCACACTCAGAGAGCACTGTCTCCTGTAGCTCCCCACACTCAGAGAGCACTGTCTCCTGTAGCTCCCCACACTCAGAGAGCACTGTCTCCTGTAGCTCCCCACACTCAGAGAGCACTGTCTCCTGTAGCTCTCCTCACTCAGAGAGCACTGTCTCCTGTAGCTCCCCACACTCAGAGAGCACTGTCTCCTGTAGCTTCCAGTAAGTCATAATGATGTTGTATAATAATAATAATAATGTTTGATTTCCTTCTGACCTTTTTTGTGAAATAAAACGTGAATAACTTTGCTCTGGTTTACTTTCTACACAACACATTTGGTTTGACATCGTTCAGAAGTGGTTCTGGTGAAAGGTTGTGTTTCTGGGTTTATTACAAATATTTTCACTCAAAAATGAAATATTATGTTTTTATGTTTCCTCCAAAAACAGGGTTCATGTTTTTATTTGTTCCATGTTATTGTTCACACCACATCAGCACCGCAGTGATCTTAGGCTCATGGTTTGGACATGCAGACATCAGCTGCTCTTAGGATCTTTCAACATTTAAATATACTGTGTTTTTTTATTAGAAGTCGCTTTAGGGTCCAAACAGTGAAGCCGACGCTCTCAATGTAATCCATTTTGTGTAAAGTGAGTGAATAAATCCATGGGACAGTAATATGCTCTTTACTGAGTATATTCACAAACAAAAAACACACATTCTGGACTAAAAGAAAAAGGACTTTAAAGTAGTGCTGTCCAACGATTAAAATATTTAATCGCAATTAATAGCATGAATTTCATAGTTAACTCGCGATTAATCGCAAATTAGTCACACATTTGCGTGCTGTGTGCAATTGCTTTTTTTATTGAAAACAATGTGTAGTGTTATATTACACACTAACATTTGATGCAAAATCATCAATAAATGGATGACAAAATAAATAATTGGTAACAAAAAGCCCCTTCAATGTGTGTGTGTGTGTGTGGAGTGTGTGTGTTTATGGGTGTGGGTGTGTGTGTGTGTGGGTGTGTGTGTGTATGTGTGGGTATGGACCATAGACTGTATAGAAACATCATGGTGTCATTATGATGATGATAAACAATCTGTAAATATTTTGTAAATTTGTTCATGTAAATACTCTATGCTGTTTCTCTGTTTACTTTTGGTATATCTATGACTGTATACTGTTTGCTTGTATTGCCTTGTTTATTAACCCCTCCCCCCCATCTCCCACTTCATGCCCCCCCCCCCCCCCTCCTATGTGCCCTTCTGGGTTTCTTCTTTGGCCCCCTGTATCTCCAACTACATATTGTTTGTAATCTCTGTCTACAATTTATCTGAACTAGTCCTTTTCTTTGTTTCTATTTTTTTTTCTGTATATGTGTTTGTCTGCAATAAAAAGTAAAAAAAAAAAAAAAATAAATATATATATATATATATATATATATATATATATTTTATAATAATAAAAAAAATTAATCGCGCGATAAAAAAAATGACGCCGTTAATATTGATTTGCGTTAACGCGTTAATAACGCGATATTTTGGACAGCACTACTTTAAAGACGAGATGGCGAGAGTAGGGAGAGAGGTCAAAAAACTGTGGCTCCACTCCACACTCCACGCTTTCCCTGGCACACCTGCGCCTTCACTAGCCTGGGGCCAGGACTGAGAAAATATAAAATGAATCCATGATTAACTTATCAATAATGATAAAAAAAACAGTTAACTAAATTAGATGCAAAATATCCAAATTAAATCAATTGCCAAATAATCATAATTCTAATCTAATCACAAAAAATAATGTATTTCAATCAAATAATACAAACAAAAATGGAAATGTATCAAAATAAAATCAAAACAACAAAGCCTCTATTTAGGCTCCAACAGTCGCTCTGGAGTATACGTCGCACCAGCCGAAAATGGAAAATTATCCAGAAATGGCTTAAGGGGAAGAAAATGGATGGATGGATATAATCATTTCACACAAAGGTCGCTCCAGAGTACAGGTCTCACCCCAGGCCAAACTATGACAAAAACTGTGATTTATAATTAGAAAAATACGACTGTCTGTTTTTGATTGTCTAAAAAAATCAGATTCCCCTTCCCCCTATCCCCGCCCATTCATGAAAGAATGTGTAATTATATAAAAGATTTTGACTGAGCATCAATTCATTTTCATTCTTGTTTATAGAGCACTTTTCCCACAAAGCATTAGACCATAAACATTAAATTTACACAGGGATTAAAACAAACAATAAAATCATTAAAATCACAGTGCATTAAAAAGATACAATCCTTCAGTTGTGTTCACAGCTAAACAGAACTGTGGTAAACATAGAAGTCTGTCTCACATTCTCAGGAAGACAGTTCTAGATTTTAGCTGCATACATCTGAAACACCGCCTCCCCATGTTTAGTCCTGACTCTGGGACCAGTCCCTGTGCTCCTCAGTCCCTGTGCTCCTCAGTCCCTGTGCTCCTCAGTCCCTGTGCTCCTCAGTCCCTGTGCTCCTCAGTCCCTGTGCTCCTCAGTCCCTGTGCTCCTCAGTCCCTGTGGGTTCATATGACACTAACATGTGGCAGATGGACTTTGGTGCGGGGCCATGGAGACTTTCCACTCACTCATGTATCAGTCCTTGAGGCAGACGGAGAACAAAGAGAGGATCTATTTTCAGATTCAGATTAATTTATTTACCATTTGTAGTAAAACCACATTTGCAAAAGTCCCCAGTGTCGCACAAGACAAGTACATAACTAAAACAAGATTATAAATACAAAAATAAAACAAGCAAAACAGTAAACAATTGACACTGGGAAATCGATCAACTAAAACAGTTTCAATACAAGTGCGAGATTATTTTAAGTGCTTTGTCCAAACCAGTGGTTCTCAAAGTGGGGTAAAAACATGTTTTATTTTTTTTATTTAACCAGGAAAGCACCATTGAGATTAACTCATTGTCATTGACATCAGTTGACTTCAACATTGTTTTTCAATCTGTTCCTGTCCGTCTGTGGCTCTGTATCATATATGTCTGGGGTTTGGCTGTAGACAGTATTTTATTAAGCCAGCAGGTGGCAGCAGAGCTCTATGGGTGTCTTGGTCAAAGATCACTCTGAGCACTCTGAGCAGTAGAGACAGAGGTGAAGCAGGCATGGAGTAATATAGTCAGGGTCAGGCTATGTTTGGAGGCAGTTTGAGCAGTAAATGTGTCTCCAGAGCTGACACAGACCATGTGGAACGCACATACGCGCCCAAACACACAAAGACACACAACAGTATTCTATTGCACTTATAGTATAAGTCTATTGTCTGTTCACTTTGATTTATTGTCATTTATAGTGTTTATCATTGTAATTTTGCTTATCTCTGATTTACTCTTATTGAAATAAATATAGCGCCACCTAATGGATGAATACTGGCCATTCTTTCTGCCATAGTTTGTCATGGGCTTTACTGTCAATATGTACATTTTGAAATGTTTTGCATTATTTATATTTTGGATTTGAAATACTTGAGCAACACTTGTGAGTGTGTGTGCCATAAAACATTATATTGCATCAAAAACACTTTCTCATAACGTGTTTTTGCTGTTTTCTAACATCTAAGATCCTGGACATGTTGGAGGAGATGCTAAAGTTAAACTAAATAGTTTTAAAGACACTTTTCTGCAGGTTCGTCTGTTTTCACAAACACCTAATTTTCTCTGTTTTTTGTCTAAGACTGGTGCTTTTTGTCACACTCCCCTCTTTTCGACTGGAGATCACAGGAGAACAAAACAAGCTAAAAACAAACTTCTTTCTGCTGCTGAAAGTAGACAGTCCTGTCTTTCAGACTCTGGTTTCATATTTTTCATAGCGCACAATATTCTGTGAGTCTTAAAAATCAGTGAAGTCATCAACAATGGCTGGCAGTCAATGAGAACCTCTTTTTCAAGGAAGTCCTGTACAAAAATTACATACAATTACAGATTATAAAACAGTCACATACAATTTCATTAAATTACGGACTATAAAAACGGTTACATTTCACTGAAGATGTCTCGAGTTCTCTCAATCTGGATCTAAACGCTTTCAATGAAATGCAGTCAGATCATTTCCAGTCTTTTTGCATCACGTTCCATGTAGAAGGAGCAGCAAATACAAAAGCTTCTTTAGGAATGAAACCTCTGCCTTGTTTTTGATGAATACTTAGGCTTATTACGCTACTGTGTGGTGTTGGTCATTTGTGGCGGTACTTGGAGAGGCAAGCATTTTCTGGGGGGGTACTTGGTGTAAAAAGTTTGAGAACCACTGGTCTAAACTGATAAAAGCTTGTGGGAAAAAGCTCTGTGAACGACATCTTCTGTCAGAAGGAAGAAGCTGGAACATGGCTTTTCCAGGGTGGCAAGAAGAGTCATTGATTTTTCTTAGAGCTTGGTTAAAAGTCTGTCTTTATAAAGAACCTCCAGAACAGGAAGCTCACAGCCCACGGTCCTCTTTCAGAGCGGGGCACCTTGTTTAGAGCTCTCCTTTCTTTTCGTGTGATGTCACCAAACCACACAGTCACAGAACCAACAAGCAAACTCTCAATGGTGCAGCGATAAAAGTGAAGCAGAATCTTAGAGTTAGTGCTAAATTCTCTACGTTTCCGTAAAAAGAAGAGCCGCTGACGAGCTTTCTTAACGACCCGGTTAGTGTTTTTGTCCCATTTCAGGTCGTTAGACAGAGTTAAACCCAGAAACTTGCCTCCTCTACCATCTGCACCTGGGAGTTGTCAATAACAACAGGAGTGTGAGAACTGTTGTGGCTAAAGTCAAAGACCAGTTCACATGTTTTGGATGCGTTCAGCTGGAGGTTGTTATCATTACTCCACTGAACAACATTTTGGCTCTGGATCCATCATTATCACTGATGAGACTGATGATGGTGGTGTCATCAGTGTATTTAATGATCAAGTTAGAGTCAGAGGAGGACACACAATCAGTGTACAATGTAAAAAGTAAAGGACTCAAAACACATCCCTGAGGAGATCCGGTGCTCACAGAAACAACATCTGAAAAACAGTCATATATGTGTTTGATGTCGTTTCATGGTAATATCCAGAGACTCTATAAAGATGGACGATGCTAATCTGCTAGCTCAATGAAGCTCAATAAGGAAGTGCTCATGGATTAAGTTTTGCTTTTGACGTGCTTTCAAAAGTGATCTCCTCGAGCTCAGAAGCGTTTGTGTCACACTCACCATTTTGGACTTTAACAAATCAGTGGTTTATTCTCTCTGTGATCCTGGTGTTTATATTTTCAGTTGGATACTCAGCTTTAAGGATCGGATTGTTCTGATGAGGTCATTTTGACACAAACAAGAATACTTTACTGAGAAATTTTTGTATTTTAGTCGACTGTTTCCTTCTGGTTTCTAGTTCAGCGAGTGTTGTGTGAAAGGGAAGGAAACACAACACCAAAGTGTGATCATAATTAACACTAGGAGCGCCCCTAGCGGTCAACTGACCGTCACTCACTTTATTATGCTAATTAGTGTATTCAAAACAAAACGC